TTGTAACGAAAACGCTGAAGTACTAAACTTCAATCTATCATATCTCTATGGAGAAAAAAGATTTTCAAAAAAGTTGAGGTCCACATAGAAGAGTGGTACTTTGAGATGGTTCAACGCGATTTTAGAAAAAAAAAAATAATTCACTTTGTAATCTGACCCCGAATATAGCGAAAAAACGTGATTTTTGCACTTTTAGGTTAGAATATCTCGAGAACGTATTGTGATGGGCCATTTCTGAGCTGGGATTCATAAACAAAGCACCAAAATCCTTTAGGGACACTAGATCTGGTCTCTGGTTCTGGATTTTTGTAAAATTTTGTCGGCCTGTGTAATTTTGAGCAGATTAACAAAATTCAGCCATGATATCGCCACGGTAGCGCAGTCGGTGGAGAGTGCGGTGGCAAGCATTTCTCGGCTAGGCTTCCTACTCTGGTCCGGGTTCGATCCCCGGTGTCGGCACTGACAATGTCGATGGATAATGGGTGTTTGTCCGCGTTTTTTCAAGTGTAGCCCCCTTCCGCACAAGCCTTTGGCTTTTGGATTTGGGGGTTGTCTCATTTCTGTGGTGTGTTTTATGTTTTTTATGTTTTTTACACACAAGGTAACTGTTGTGCAGAAATTATCTCCCATAAACTATGGAAGACCGATAACTGTGAGTAGAGTGTAACTGTGAGTGCAGAAAATATGAATGATAATCTTTCACCAACGAAGCAGGGTTTTTAAGCTGAGCTGCAAGAACTCCTCGGACATTTGAAGAAATCAGTTTATATCCCTNAATTACTTGACCACTTAAAGTCGAATCAAAATTATTTTTAGCATTTGAATTGGAATCAAATTTAAAACAGTTTTAAATTCTGTTTCATATTCTGTTCCTAGGATTAATTTAAACATACCTAAAGGCGTCCCCCACAGGGCTCATACAGATGACCAAGTGAAGTTTGCTTCTAACTCTGCCGATGAAATAGTTATAAATACCATCGCGGTTCGATTCATCCAGGCCAGCCTCTTTTACAGCGGGTCGTACTCCAATAATGACCTTCTCGTATTCGTCAGCTTCAAACAAGTTGGGGACTTCACCCGAGTTCAACAAGTTATTTATGTCTTCCAAGAACTCCTCCTGAACAATCTGGGTGTCGGTGAACAGGAAAACGCTGTCCTCGTATGTTACTCCAGCATTGAAGTACATCTTCCTCAGATCCTCGAAGAAGGAGCTGTGGTCGTAATTTCTGGTCAGTTCTATTTGGAAACATCTAAAAAAAGATTCTGTAGAGGTCACCGTCGTGGAAAAGGAAACATATTTACTTGTAAGCGTTGAGATGGGAAGCTAGTTTGGTTAAACTTTGTTTTCCCATACCTCCCACTCCGACGAGTAAGGCGTTACCTCTTTCCGATCTTAGTATCCTCGCAATCCGTATACAGTGCTCAATTGCCATCATGAAAAAGATGAGCTTCATTTCCTTTGAAGTTAACAGGTTGAAGTCATCCAGATAATCCTGAATATTACATAAATGCAGTTGATAATAAATAATTGGAATTTTTTAGTCATACAAAATCAGGATGGATTTCAAGATGGATAGAGCTTGTTTTTAACCAACTTATTTTTATTTTTAAAAACCCCACATTCATGCGGCACACGAGTTATTACTAAACTTATTTTTTTAAATATAAAATACTTCTTTGATAAACTTCAATATTTTTGCGACACTATATTTTCACACATAGTCCAGGCGGTATCTGTTTCGTGTTGGGTACAACGCATATGATCGGAGATTTTTGCTTTAACGGCTTCTAAATAACATCAGAAATGATAATTTTTCTATGCAAATAAAAAAAAAGTGGGCTTAATTGTTATTGCAAAAAAGTATAGAAAAATAGCAAAAAAATTATATTCATTTTTAACAAAAATGGAAGAAGAAAAAAGTTTTGTAATTAAATTTTGATCGAGATAGAGTTGTTGCAATTCGAAAAAATAATTATTGTTGTTGCAAAAATCGGAAAAATCATTTAAAAAATTGCAAAAAATGCTAGTTTATTTGTCAATTTTTTTCAGACACTTGAATAATACCTGGGATCTTCATACTTTTCCCAATTAAACTTCTTAGTGCATATAATCATCACACCAAATTTCATCCAATTCGGTTCGATAGTTTTTACATAATTGTTTAATTTTTTTTTAAATTGAAAAATTTTCAAAATCAAATTTATAAAAATCTAAATCCTTTGAATACTTGAAAATTTTACCACAAAAAGAAGAGCTGTTAAGCTTTAAAATGATTTTTGAAAAATTCAAATCGGACGATTAGGTGAGCCGTGGTGATTGTTTAAACATTTTCGCAATTTTCACGCTTATAAACAATTGCAATAATTTAATGTTTTTTTCAATTTTTTTTTTTTTAATTTTAAAATATGGTTTGAAAGTACTCGGAAAGACAAGTATTTAAAAAAAATCTGATGATCCGCCCATTATTTTCGGAGTTATAGCCCGTTAAAGTTAACCCTTATTTACAGCAAAACTATAAGGGTCTAAGGGCTGTTTTTAGAACTAATAGGTTTGTCATTCCGAGTACTTTCCAGATATAAATTTTCAAAATTTGCAAACACGGGTGTCCTATTTAAAATGTCACTCAAAGATATTCAAGACCGCGTAAAATCAATGAAATATCAGTGGTGGGGGGAGCAAACACACAGCTACTTCTATCTGAATTCTCGAGTTCAAAAATGCTCTGAGTATTGCATCCATTGCCAAGGGCAATGTGGAAGTAGATGAGTTCGAAATCGATTTTGAAAAAGACATGTCAGAAGAAAGTGCAAGTGAACTCGACAATCAGATCTCAGAGTCGTTAGAAAATGATATTTTGCAGTTACAGGACAAGGAAATCGACGACGAAATAGATTGTGACAATACTGATGAGGCATGTGAAAAATCACCAACTAGTAAAAGAATTAGATTAGATTAAATGTAAATAAAAATTGAAATAAATACTTTAAAATTTGAAAAATCATGAAAAGTGTGTAGTGTTTATTGAAGTATCCAAAAGATTCTTATACTTTTTTATATAAATAAAAAATAAATTTTAGATAAATATTAGTAAACGAAAAAATTAAAATTATAATTATTCACAATTTATGTGAGTAATAATTTTTGAAAGATTTTTAGAAATTTATCGTACAACTAAAAATTAATACCAATTTTNTGTGCCTGTCTGGGGTATATTGTCTGTCATTTGTTTGTTGATGAGTTTGTCAAGTTTTTGGTGTAATTTAGTGGTGTTTTCGTCCGAAAGTTTAATTGTTTTTTGCAAATCGACGATTTGCATTTTCATGGTTAGTATTTGTTGGTATTGTCGGGTGATTTGTTCTGTCAGTTCGTGTATTTGTTGATTTAGCGCCTCGTTTTCATGTTTTTGTGATAGTAGCTGTTCGTATAAATCTGTTTTAGTGGTTATGTTTTTTGGTGAAGAGGGTCTTTCGCTGTCTGTATCGTCCATGTATATGTTTTCGTCGTTTTCGGAGTCCGACATTTTGCGCGTGTGTAAGGGTGTATACGTGTCAGTCGTGTGGGGATGCCCCCTTACGGGGGCGTACGTGTCTTTTGGTATATTAGTCTGTCTGGTATATTGTTTGTTGGGGGTCGCAATTTTAAAGAAATGTATTAAAAAATAATGCAAATAACTGATAAATAAAGTAAAAACTTACCTGGGCATAACCCCGGCACAGATACCTGTAACAAAGATGCCGACGGCCTCTATGCTTAAGCCGGGGATTAGGTCGGTGGTTAAGAGGAAAGAAAGGGATTCTTTCCAGGTAGCCTTAATAAAGGCAGGTAGATCTTGCTCGTTGCAATGCACTTCACTTCACAATAAACACGTCCGCTCAGTTCGGCCGCTCGCTCGAGAATGACTCTATAATATAGCATTCATAATCGCGCGCGTGCTAGAGTGAGACATCATTTACTGAGATACTGTCTCTCTCTCGCACACTTTTCACAATGGTATGCGACCTCCAGTAGTATATGATTGAAGGTTATGAGTGAACTTTTTTATAGTTCTTTTGATTTTGTAACTAGTTTTTCTTTAGGATTGGATTGGCAACACTGGCTGACAAAATGATTATGAGATACAGGGTGGTCTCTATGATTAAACAACTCTCGTGTAGGCCTGGACAGCCTTCGTAAGTGGGCCCTATCCGTCGTCTACCCCGATCGCAAATCCGGTCGGTGTAGGCGCTTTGTGGGACCTCCTTTTGTCCTGGCTGGTCCCCGCCCGCTAGGGCCCTTTCTTCTGGCGCTCGTCTTGTTTCGCCGGCTCGTCTATGTAAACCCCGGGGGTGCTGTCATGTTTATGTGTGGTATGGTTGGGTAGGGTCGTGCGGCTATGCAGCCTGGGATGCGCTTTGCTAAAGTGGCCCTTAGGCTAGCGCGGGAGGGGAGGTGTAAGGAGGGTATGGGCGGTGTGTGATACTTTTTATTTAAAATGATAAAATAAAATAGACTATTCATATATGTATTCATAACCAACATCGAAATCGATTTGAAGGGCAAAATATTAAATAAAATTTTATTTTTGCAAAGCATATAAAAAAAAATATATTTAATTCAGGATTTTTTCATTTGCTTCTGTTGATAAAGGTTTCAGACTTAAACGCATCTTTCATTTTCAGGCACATTCTTTCATTTTTAGGCATTCTAAAACTATTTTATATCACATTAAATTCTATAAAAACGATCGATGTACTGAAAATAGCAATGTATCTTTAGATATATCATTCTAACATCGATGTCAGCATATGATATATTACATTGAAAAAAACATCATATTCTTTTAAGGTCCAACCCTGGAAAGGCATGCAGCAGGTAACCTATAGTTCCCCCTAACTCCTTTGCCACTGCACATCCTACCCTCGGGGCCCAAATAAATTTGGTTTACCCATATATCATAATTTAATCTGTAAACTAAAAAACCAATTACATAATACCGTAAAAAACTAAGTCAAATATTTTATTTAAATGAGGACAGTGGTAAACATTTATTTACAAACTAAAAAACATTGATTTACAAACTAAAAAAATAAAATATGAACTACGTGCTTCTCCATATAATGGAACAAAACAATAAAAATACGTTTCTGGTAATCATTTTATAGCAAAAAATTGTTTATTCTTATTGTACAGAAATAATTATTTGAGAAATATGAAATACATTTAACGTAATATGAAACTAAAATTTTTTGTCACGTAATACTTGTTGGTCTAGGTCTAAGAATTAATTTGCCAGTATCATCACAAGACATATTGAAATCACTAAGTACCTCTCGAGTTCTTGAAGTTATTATGGATGCTGCGATAACTCTTTTATGCACGCCAAGCAGTAAAATTGTTGCTGAAAAAGATTATAGAATCAGAAAAACTGTCCAATGTACATTTAAAGAAATTAAATTAATGTCTAATATACAAATTTTTATTACACTATATGATTTTATGTAATAAAGAGCTGTATAAAAACCTGTATTTTTCATATAAATGTTTTGTCCAAATTCCCTTTTATCACTTTGTCATATTTAAATTACCTATCAACTGAAATTAAAAAAGTGAAACAAGTCAATAATGTTAATAATTCTTGTGTTAACAATTATTCTATTTGAAAAAAAAAACTGAAAAATAAAAATGTTCACTACCTAAATAATAATAGATTTGGATTAACACATTATTTTACCTCATCTTAGATGTTGCTGATTTTTTTTTGTATCTGTATCTATACTTGATATAAATGAGTGGAACATATAAGAATGTTAAAGTTAATAGGACTTTATTTTTTGTTTTGGTGTAACTCAATATGTTTACCACTAAACAAACTGTTTTTTGTTCATATCGAGTTTATACAGGGTGATTCAGAACTTATCCAAAAAAATTTGGGAATAGATGCGGCATGAGAAATTGAGTCAATATCGTAAAAAAAATTTTTGTAAAATCCTTATAGTTTCCGAGAAAAAAATTATTGAAGTTATAGTACATTCAACAACTACATAGCTGGACAACTGTAGTCTTTAGCGTCATTTGCAATACGCGTAGAGAGCCACGTGGCCTCAGCGACTCCGAATACTGAAATCGTATTTTGCAATCGTCGTTGCAACAGTATTTACCTGTTATCTGTTGTGTTTACAATATTTTTTTAGTAGTTAGTGTCAAAAATGGGTAGTTAGTGTCAAAAATGGTTTGCGTGTATAGCATCTCGGAGTTGATGGATATCGTTTTAATTTATGGTGAAGCAAGACAACATTTGTGTTATTTCGTAGAAACTGAGTAAGACGGACCCAAATGTGTTTACATGTTGGTGGATTTTGAACAATTGTTGTAAAATGGGTATGTCAAATGATTTTATTATTTAAAAACACAAATTAATTGTATTATTTAATAAAGGCAAAAGCAGTTGAATTTGCCGATATAAAATAGGTGCGATAAAATTCTATTTACATATTTCTTTCCTTGCGAAATTTTTTGTCCGTTTTTATCACACCGCCATGCCGGTTGCATTGTGCGAGGCCAGGTTTTACAGTGGACCAGTGAACTGCCCTTTTTGATTTTTTCTTCACAAAATTGTATTTGTAAGGGTCCCCTGTACATCCAGAATTTTTTTTTTGGATAAGTCTGAATCACCCTGTATACTAACTACATTAACAGATAAGTCAAAGTATGAGCTGACATTGCCCATAATTTTTTATGTTTGTAGGCCGTCAGAATCCATGGGCTTTGCGATCACACCCTCAGGTCTGACTAATTATCATCTGTATTTATTACACCTACCACTTTTATTATGCTATTACAACAGTTTAAGCAAATAATTGACTCTTTTCGAGACACCTTTGCTTAGATCTGATGGTGTTGATCCTGCTGCCCCCTGCCTTTTTTTGCTTCTTTTGCTCAAATATTGTTATAAACAGCTTTATAAATGAAATATGTGTAACATGCATAAAATTTTCAGTTAAATATGTACTGGGCGACCTATTTCAAGAATACCAATATCTTTCAAAAAATACATATTCTATAAAATCTACTATATTGTTGGAAAAGTTATAAGAAAAAAATCAAAGCTGTAAAAATATATAATGTGTTCCATTAGAAATAATAAACTAGTGTTATTTTTTCCAGAAGTATGAAAAGAAAAAAAACTGAGCAGTTCACAGTATTCTAAGGGACAAATCGTTTTAGAATTATTTACACATTTTTTTATTCTCTTATAACAGAGGTACGGGGGGTCAATAAATATGGTCCAAAGTTTCCGTACCCTAGCTACAGTGTTTGATGATAAAAGAGGAAAGATTAAAGTGTTTTATTATTTCATTTTTTTGTATGTAATATAAACGTAATAATATAAAAAAAAACTAAATCAGATATGAAATTAGTACCACTTAAGATAAGATTGTCTATTAATGGTGAAGGCTTGTGAAAATTAAAATGCTCATGATTTTATAATGAAGTGTGACATCCATGTTGTTTTTTAGGGGATGATTTCTAAATGCACAGAGAACTCTTGTGACAAAAAAATTTTTAAATGAAATTTACAAAATAATAAATTAAAATAGGAGCTGACCATGACATCTTGAAAAATATTGGACATATTTGCAATTTTCTTGTTTTTTCGCAAAATTTTTATTTTTCTTAAAGTTCAAAAAATGGAATGTTAATATCAAATTAAAATATAGGTACATAAGACCATCAAGGAAAATTAATTTTGCAAAAAATAAAAAAGAAACACCTAGTTATAGCTAAAACTTGCTTAAAAGAATAATGTTTTGAATATTTATGCAACCCATTTTAAAATCTTAGGGTCGGCCATCGTTAGTGAAATTTTTTATTTCGCCAATTTCATTCTAATAATTTTTGTCATCAAAGTTGTCTATAAATCATCTAAAAATAGTACGAGTCCCATACTTCATTATCAAAATATGACCACATTAATTTATACGAGCTGTTACTGTATGTTAAATTCACATTTTACAAGATATTAAAATACAGACTTGTGTAATTTATATTTTTCACTATAATTTGCTATTCCTTTATTATCTGTATTTAAGAATTTTCCTAATAAAAATCAACAAACCAACATATTTAATAGTGTTTCACATAAGTTTTTTTTAACATTTCTCAAAATCGGGAGAATTAATTTTGGCACCAATGTGCAAATGTCACTGCATCAATACATTCTGCATTTGGCAATTTAAGTGTCACTTTCTTGATAAGCTACATCTTTCTCTAAATATTAGCCGGAATGTTTGAATGACAAATTTTAGAAATCATTGTTTTACTGCTTGTCTAAAGAATGTATAACTTTTTGCTCAGCTGGAACAATTTTATATAACTTCATAATATTAAATAACGGTTTCACCAGTCGATCTTCTTTGGACTATGGTAAAAGTCTACTAAAACTTTCTAAAACAATATATCAGACTATTATACAGATTTTCACACCTCTGCATTACTTGAAGGGATTATTTTAACTGATATACCTACTTAAAGTATACCTTTACAGTTCCATATATTTTTTAAATTTTTGAAAATTCTGATTTTCTTCCAAATCTGTACCATATTTAATAATGCAAAATATTATCTAAGTTAACAAATTTTTATAGTTTATCACCATAATTCATTTGTAATAAAATACATGCAAAACATAATAATTAAACTATTCTTTTACTAATACAATTTTGAATGCAATCACTTACCAAGGATAATAGTTGATAATATAAAAAATGGATGGTTTGTTAGTGACTGTGATAATGAAACTATTCTAGTTTCTGGATCAAGAATCCACTGACTGGCTCCAGTAGCTACACAGATAGACACCGCCACAAGTACAACTAAAAATTAATAGTTAAGAAAATGTTTTGTAAACATAAAATATATAAATACTTCTCCATCTCGTTGTAGAAGGATGTAAACATGCTATAACTTCCGTTAATCGTCTTTCAAAGGCCTTTAAATCTGCAACAATATCTATTTTATAGGTTACGACATGTTTCTAAAAAAACTATTTCTATACCTTCACAAGCAGTCTGTTCTAGAGACATATTAGTGGTAAATCAAAGAAAAATTTAAATGTTTCACTGGAATACCATTGAATATAGCAAGTGTTTATAATTAATTTTTTTGACAAACCAAAATGACAAAAATAAAATAAAAAATAGGTTACAGATTAGAGAATATAATTAGCAGAGAAAAATGCAAATTACGTAGTAGTAGAGTTGTCTCTGATACAAATATTTTTTTAACGTTTTTGTTCGATAATCACTTGATGACTGATCTGATGACTACCGTGTACAGTTACAGCACTTATACTTATTATACTACTAGGGATATGTTATGTTGCGATTTCACTATCTGCTACTCTACAATGGAACTGACTCAGAAACACAGATTCTCTGTGCTCAGAAAATTTAACTCAGAAGCTGACTGTTCCGCCGCGACAAAACAAGTGATTTTTCGGAGCGTTTGTTGCAATTTACTAGCGCCACTTCCAGCGACACGGGCGTGCCGGCCATAGATAAAAGAGCATAGATATGATGATAATGTAAAAGAGTGTGCCGGCGGGTCGGCCACAACAGAGCAGATCTCGCTCGGCAGTAAGTCACTACAGGCTGTAGAAAACATAGCCCTCCGCACGGCCACCGACGCGCCTTGGTACGTAAGAAACACTGACATATTACGAGACTTACAATACACAAACGCTACACAGACAATAAGACAAAACGCGGAGAAACGGTTTGACGTAGCCGCTAGACATGACATCCTCCTCAGGCAAGCCGTTGACTACGTACCCGACGTGACTGACAAACACAAAAGACCTAGACACCAACTTTTTGACCCTGGGTGACCACCCCAAAGACATCCCCGCTAACCTTTTCTGTTTCAGAGACAGCCAGGATCAAGAAACGAAGACAACGACACACACACA